GGACGTTCCCGTCCACCAACCAACCCCCCGTGGCTTTAGGACAATCGCGGGTAGAGACGCTTGTCGGATTGTAGTTGGATTTCGCGACTCCTGAAGGAGTGATGGTGGCCCATTTGGCTTGCAGATTCTGGAACTCCGGGGCTCTGGGGGTTGGAGTGCCCTTGCGGGTAAAGCCATCGTACACGTCGTCAGCGGTGATGGTCTTAGATACTTCGGGTCCGTATGACACAATGCCATATCGGTTCTCCTCGTAAATCCATTCGTAAACCATGGCTCCACTCCAGTCATTAACCATGGGCTGGCTGAAGATGGCGTTCTGGTCGTCCCATGTACGCGGGCCCTGACCTGTGATGCATCCCGTTTCCGTGAAGAAGATGGGCACAGGAAACTTCTCGGCCATGGCTTGCAGGTTTGTGTATCCCGAGGTCTCGTACGTGTTTGGGTCGCACCACTCGTACGAGTTGAGTCCAAAAAAGTCAATGTTGTCCTCTGGCTTTCCGCCACAGGTCAGGTAGTCCTGGAGCATGGGCCGCAACTCAGCGATGTCTGCCGCGGAGTAGCCGACGGGAATCTTGCGATAACCCTTCTTGTCGCGATAGGCCTTCATGTCTCGTGCGGCAGCCTTCATGAAAGGGGCGACCTGGGACTGAGTGGGAAGTGCAATGATCTCATTGCCAATGAAGAAGCCGAGAACGTTGTCGTATTTCGCAAAGTTGTCCATTACTTTGGCGTATGCGTTGAACTGCGTCTCGTTCCAGTAGGGAGTATTCTGTACCTCTTGTAAGCCAAAGCACGCGAGCTGGAGATAGGACAGAACAGGGGGGCACCAACAGGAAGAATGTACGAGTCAAAGGTGTCCAAGTCGATGAGGGTGTATATGCCGGCCTTGTCAAAGGCAGACATGCACCCGTCATGATTTGCACTGGAATCGACGTGGTAAACGCGGATTGCGTTGGTACCCAGCGTCTTCATGAGGTTGGCGTCGCGGGTGCATTGATCAGTATCAACCAGTGGGTCATCTGGACGAGCTTTTGTGTTAGACAGCGGATTTTGTAAGTGTGCATTCAGACAGACTGGGCTAACCTGGTGTCAGTTGGTATGCGATGCCTGTGATTGCGTCAGTCCCAAGGATTCTAGTCAGAAATGCAGTGGAAGATTGGCGTACCTTTCATGAACCATTGCTTGCCGCTCTCGTCGAAGAATTTACTGCCTACAATCTCGATTGGTGCAAGGGCTGCGGCAGTGCCAAGCAATAATGCCGAGACGAGCTTGGAGACTCGCATGATGAAGGAGTAATCGCAAGAAAATCCTTCTGATAAGCTTCAACTAGCAAATACAGCAATGGGTGAGGATGCGACGAATGGTGAGAATGCTGATGCCTTAGTGCTGCGGTTCCCAAGAAAGCCAAGAAGAAGAAAGAAATACGACCAAGAGTCTGTTGATGATGTTGAGGATCGAGAGTTGTTGGCTGTAGCTCGTGTCGACGAAAGATTTCGAACTACTGGCGAGGGACACCTCAGTAGGGCGGATGCTGAACTGAGCAGGTGTTTTTGCCAGGCGGAGAAAGTAATGACTGTTGGCCGTGGTTGCCTCTTTTTTGCAGGTCTTCACAAGTTGTCGTGTTCCTTCCTTCGATCTGGTCGAGTACTCGTCCTGCACCAACCGCAACCAATTCCTTCTCTCGCGATTACAACGTCGTACAAGGCGACACTCTCACTCCGCAAACAACGTCCGTTCTTGGCGAAAATGACAGAAAGATTTAAACAGGGCAGCAACCGTGTTGAAGGCCGTCAGACGAGGTGGAAGGAAAGAGACTTTGCCTGGCGTCGAATATCGTGGATAAGCAACAGCCTCACCTCAGGATGACGGGAACGCCTTGCTTGGGGGATGGGGAGGGAAGCTATCGATTTTATTGTTCCAGCTTTGCTACTGCAGCTCAACACGGGAGACACTCCGAACAACAAGGCCCTGCAGACTGCAGTTTTTTCCCTCTTTTTTCTTTACCCCTGCTGGCGTTCTTACAAGTAACAACGTTCCTCTCTTGCTCTTTTTGGAATCCCATCCCACCTCTCCACACACGTGGAGTACCAAACGGATGAGAAAACTGCCTAGGACGAGAAGCTTGGAGCTCGCTCTGGTGCTAGCAAGGAGCCACGGAGCCCGGTCTAGGGTGGGAAACGACGGCGGCAGGGGTGCGTTAGGTGCGCAACGAGGGAAAAAAAAACGAACCAGGAGTTCAAGCTTGAAGCAACAAGGCCGACTGCATGGGTCTGGATCAATGGAGGTGCGCCATGTTGTGCCATTGGCGGCGGGCCAGGGGTGAAGACGGCCTATCTTGATTGTCGCCCGGCCCAAGAGTGGTCCAGAGGCTCCAGAGTCACAAAAGTCTTGACTCTGACTGGCCTCAACACCCTGGCCTTTCTCACTCGACACACAACCGACTCGACATGGACTGCCTGCTGCAGAGAGACCGGCGGCGTTGGTCGGCCTCATTGGGGGCAACGCGGGTGGGTGATGCAAGACGCAACACCAGAGGAGGAGTCACCCAGTAAGCAGGCTGAGTTTACAAGACGCCGACGCGTCTTTTCTTGGTCTTGGTTGACAGCTATGACATCTCTCCTCCAGGGCTGATGATTCTCATCGGAATCCTTCGATCCCTCCCGCTCTCCGCCTCCAGAGTCCACAACAATTACAGATACACAAGCATATCCCCTCACTCAATTGATCAGGGAAATAACCTCACAAGGTCGGCACGGAGTTGCGGGTACTACTCCTAGACTCTCTGCCCTTGTTTCAATCTCCAGACTACAGACAATGAAGACACAAAAGCAAACTTGGCCGTCGTTTCTTTCTTTTGCCCCCACGGCTACAAACAACATGGCGCCATCCACCCGAAGCCACGCCGTCTTTGACGCCTGCCCAACCAGACCAGCTTCTTTGCTGTCTCAATCTGATAAAATAGCCCGCCACTTTTCGTCGCCTCTCACTAGCCTCGCGTAGCCACACGTCCACTCGAACACGAGTCGGGCACCCGGGAAACGGACCGAGCTATTCTGGCTGATGGGTGGCTGCTAATACTAGGCTGTCAGCCAGGGATTTAGTGCTCCGGCAGAACGCAGCCAACGACGAACGAGGACGGCGACAGCGAGGCATTCAACTCGCCACAATGCCTGGCCTCGCCTCTGCCATCTTCAAGTTGGATGCCTCTTCCCAATTGCGACGACTTGTGTCAGGGATTAAGCTGGTCCTTGCCCATCAAGCTTTCGACGCAACGGCGAAAACTCCGTCCTCCCCCCCCCCCCCCAAAGCTCACCACGGCTAGCCTCGACGCGATTTACTTGCTTAATGTCCTCTGCTTCTTCGCCGGCTCGCCTAGACCACCTTGCGGGGATACCTCTCCAGATTAGCGATGGTCATCCAACAGGGTGCGGCTGGAAATTGGCCTTTTTCCTGTCTTCATTTCCTGTTCGCGGTGTATTCAACAGCCCCCAAAGTCGAGGGCGGCTACACGGCAGGAAAAGGCGGCCTAGTAATAATGGCTTCCGGATAATGAGTATGACGCAACACTCTGATCGCAGCGTCTCATTGAAAATCCCTCTTGGCCCTGCAGTCAGGCAATCGTTGACACGAACCAGGGTAAGCTTAACCCCCGGTCCCGTTCACTGCCTGTGGACCTTATCCGGCGAGGGTTGCAACGGCCACTGCAAAAAAAGATGTGAAAACTCGGGCTTCCGTTTCGTTCGAGGAACACCTTGACCGCGAGCCCACTGATCTGAAGAGCAGGGAGTCAGGGAGAGAGTCCGCAGCAAACAGAGAGCGAATTGATGTCACCTGTGGACCCAGGTGTCAGCTTCGTTGCATTACGGCACCTTGACATCCTGGGCGAATCCGTCGTTGGATCCCTCCGAGGAGCCTCTTGGCCGCATCTTCTCTGCCATTGCCCGTCGCAAGTGGTGCGTCGTAGCATTGAAGAAGGTGGCATGCCGCAGAGAGTTGATGCAATGGGCTGTCAGCTGCATCAAGTGTAAACGTTTGCATTCACTTGCGGCGCACCCCGCCGCGTGTTGCTCATCCAACAGGAGCAATGACAGCACGACGAAATAAAGCAATGCGAAGCCCATAGGAGCTTTCTTGTTTGTATCGCGGCGATAAAATGGTTTTGTCGATGCAGGAATCTGCCATGGCGACGAGGCTCCAGCAACTGACCGTCTCAGTGAGACATGCATTTGATACCACTGTCGATAATCTCACCATGGCCTTTCCATCTCGTTTGGCAAGTTGTCAGAACATTTATTTGCAAGCAGCACAAAAGCTCCCTTCTGGCCGGCACCCTGCATGGGCTGAAACATGAAAGGAAAACCCCTCGTCGCTCCATCAACAAGCTCGACCTGAGTTTCCCCCGCCTGCCTCCGCGGTATCCGTGAAAGTTATTGGCAGCTCAAGTACCCATACGGAGTTTCCGTACAGATTGACGAAGGCGGGGTGTTGCTGCTCGACACTTGAGAGCCATCAGCATCTAATGGGCAGACAACGAGGCCAGCGGGGAATAGTAAGGGTCTAACGCGCAAACCAGTTGCCAAGCAAACGCCGCGCGCCCATCAAAAAAACGATGGGCGATCTGCTCTCCCGGTTTGGGTGAAGATAAGGGCAGTAACACCTCACTTCCAGAATAAGGCTAGGTTAGCCTCTCAGAATCCCATCCCATCGCTCGGCACTCGAATCGCTTGGCTTTTCTCCTCGCACCTCGTCCAGAAAGACGACAAGAGAAGCCAATGGTGCGGGGAGCTAAGCTACCGTAGTCGGCCAGTTCTACACCGACGAGTTCAATTTTGAGACGGCTTCGGCGCGTTGACCCGAAGACGTGGCGGCCACGCCTTTCCCCGGCCACGCCTATCCCCGGCCACCTTCCAAGGTGAAGCCAAATGCAGCCATCAAGCACACTATGCGAAGCAAAAACCTAGGGTATGTCTCTCTCGCCGTGTCGCTCGCCCAAATGCAACATGGAAGCCTGCGCATTCGGCATGTTCCAGAGAGGTACGGAGTAGATCCTCAACCCACCTCCACCTCCGGTCCCCGCATGCCATGCCATGCCCACCAACAAGCGACGAATCCCAGCTGCAACTCTGAGGTTGCAACTTGCGAGTCTGCCTACCCACCTAGGTAGTCGAGCATCGAACTGCCCCTCCCCTGGTTCAGCGGCAACGCGAAACGGGGGTTGACGTCTGCTTCCCGCAAAGCCACCAAGTGGTCGCAGCAGAGTTATTTGGGGTGGTTCCCGGCTGTGGCCTTGAACTTTTTTTTCTTCGTTCGTCTTGAGTAGGTCGCCAGGGAGAAGATGTGACGCCTGTGCAACGTGGTTCTGGTTCGTAGTTGACGGAAAAGCACTGGTCGTTATCCCTTCTCTGCCGCTGTCGGCCCTTGCCGTAAGGTCTCTTATTTTCATATATTGGACCTCGAAGGGCACTTTAGAACAGTTCTAGAGACATTGAACAAGGTAAGGGCAGATGTCTAAAGTGTACCGATCTTTGGTTTCTTCTAGTCCGCAGGGAGGGCGGGTACAGATTCATCGCAGACTTGGCGATTGTGCATCAACCGCCCGTACTGTATGGTGTAGGTCCGTCGAAGTTCTCAGTCATGGCGCGGTGTGAACTTTACCTGGCGCTTCCTCTTTTCAGATCGTACATCGAGTACAGATGTGACAGACATTGAGATGAGCCCAGTTGCAGAGGGAGGCTACTGATCAGCTCGTGTGACTATGAACCTTGAACGGTCGGCATTGAACGGTCTGCTTTTGCGATGGAATCTGTCGATGACTGTCCTAGGTGTTCTTACATAGATATCAACGATGACATATCCCCTTCTGCCTCAATTCTAGAAGGCAATGAACCTGCTTATTGGGTGTTCCGTCACCTTTTCTCGCTTCGACGCTGTCCGAAATATGCGCTGCTCCGTCAACTCGACCTACAAGCGTTCCCTCATGGATTCTTTATGGAAAGTTGAAGATTCCTGGACATCCGCCGCCTCAAGAACCTCACGATGGAGGGATTCCTTCAGCAGCCTTGCGGTGTCTTCATTATTTTGATCCTCTCTATGAGACTCCGCGGCAACGATTGACCAAGGAGAACAGTAGAGCTCTCTGAACAAGCCAGGAGTCGTAGGCATGCTCCTCCTGTACCACTAAAAGACTCATTGGGTAGCAATGAATTGTGAACTGAGGAGACCAGAGCAACCGCCTGCCCCAGCAGGTCAGATTTGGACAAGTCTCACCTCAAACGGGCTAGTTTCGGAGAAGACTCTTTGAGCTAACCGCTCATTCTCTCTACCTTTCGTGCAACTCCGCTATTTTGACATTGAAGAAGATGGTAAAGTAAGCTGTTACCACTTTCTCGAGGGCCCTTACGTTGTTCGCATGAGTATCCATCAACGGCAGTGGGCCGGAATGTCCAAAGAAGTTTATAGCATGATCTAGATGATGAGGTAGCTAGACGGGGCTAAGAGTATGTCCTCCACGGAGCAACCTTCACCGATTTTCTCTTGTAGATCATCATACTGTCTATCGGGGCGAATGTTTACTTTTCGCTCATCAACAAGCAATGCTTGCCAGAGAACCACTCAAAGGGGTCTGTCGAGGATGTTGACGTCGTCAAAGACCCGCCATCGTACGTCCGGAATGAACGTTGGGCAGAACCAAGCCAAGAAGGGTTCACTTGCTATAACTGCTGAATGCTTCGCCGCGTGAGAGACCGGAATTTGAAGAGAAAATCTTCTCACGGCTTCATATAGCAAGCTGAGCTCATGATCGGGAACTGAAACCCTCTCATGGGTGTATTACTTACGCTGTCGTGAGGAGCAACAGACGGTTCACTTCTTGATACATCAACAGATATAACAGCCGCATGATGAGATCTTTGTGAATTTTGATATCGGAAGATGACGAGCCCCACGCTGGCGTGAAACAGGTTGGTTCAAGTAGTCACCATGTTTCGATCTTGCCGGTTGTGTCGAAGACGGAGTTCGGGGTCGAATACAGACATGTCGTCTTTGGATAGGCTGATTGGGTTGGGTCTCTAGCAGCATTCTCTTCCCATGCCGTCCGTTCCAAGAATCCCCTCTTACGATTGTAACGAATAGTCGTTTGATCTGGCAGGCGGGATTGTATTTGGTCCTCCTGGAAAGGTTATAGAACGCGTATCTCACAAGTGTAACTAGATACCCGAGAAGTACAAGTCCACAAGAGACTGGACTAACAACAGGAATTTGTTGTATGTAAAGACCTGTAAAGACTCTTCGGTAATATAGAAACTCCATATTCAAGGAACCTGGCGTTATTCTCATGCGATAGATGGACGACCTTCTAAGTTATATACAAGCCACTGTGTGTCAACCTTGAACGACTGGAGCATGAATAAGTTCATTCTACATCTCTCAGCCACCATAATTAACCACTAGAGTGATTGGTCCGGGAGAACAGATCGACTTCCGAGCACCTAGAACATCAGAATCACCACCCGCATGTGCACGACCATGATAGAGCCGGACTTGAGGCAAACGCGTTGCCCTTCTTCTCCAGACAGTTGTGCTGAACTTGTCGCAATTTAGCGCTGCTACCTAAAGTATATGTAAGAACATGGAGATCCTCCTAAATCTAGGGGCACTCGAGGCCAAAACGGACTTACCTAGCATTTCCAAACTTCTCTCATGACATCGAATCCCTTCAGCCAACCGTGAGAGATGGTCATCATACGGGACGCTACTCTTCGTTGAACAGAAAACAGGGCAGAAAAAATCAGTTCAGATAGACTCAATGCAGGTAGGTACATGACACCATTGCCGTCAAGAAATGTTTGCATTAAGCGCGCTTCCCCCTTCCCCGTGAGTCATCTCTCTCAGCAGCTCACCGCAGCTATGTAAATCGGGACCATTGAGTTCCCTAGCCAGTCTCTACCGAGAAGTAAATGTATCCCCAAGGTCTACCCGAATCTCGCAAGCAGCGCGAGTGGTCAAGATCTCTCGGCCTAGTTCATCCCGGAGAACTTGTCAATGACATCAGGCTTCAACTTGTATCAAAAACTCGGAAACGACCTTTCTATGGAGGTTAATACAAAATAAACACGACCAGACAAGCTTCGAAGTAAACGACAGAAAGAAGGAGGCACAAACGTAAACATGTTCATACAAACCGAGTCACGCACAAGATATCCGTAGGTCGACCTGTGAACCCCAAACTCGGCGAGCAGCACACGAGCATCATTCCCAAGCTCATGAACAACACCAAACCTCAATACCAGGTTCAGGAGAAAACCATGTGGTATTCCACCCGAATACAATCGAATCCTAATCTGTACGAATAACTAGGCACCTCGCCGTCCCATAAAGAACCGGTCGTCGTGTCATTTCAACCGTCAAAAAGCATTCGCTCAATGTCCCCCGCGTGTGTTTGTCTTTTGAGTTTCCCTCTTTCAAAACGCGGGGTTCATCCGCCTCGCAGGGATGAGCTGCGTCAGCAGCAGGAGCAGGAGCAGTAGCAGCAGTGCACCTCGTAGTACCCGGAATACCTTAGACAGAGCAGCTTGGAAATTCCCATCAATCCATTGCGTAGATTTCTCGTCCTTCAGGTGGTCCACAGACGAATCAACAAGCGTGCCAGACTGCTACCTACATGAGCCACCTCATTGCAATTTGCTGTTAAAGCCAGTACCGTACTTTGTAGTGTTGCAGCAGCAGCTCGTGCGGCACGCCGCCGCCGCCATCGCCCCCAACACCCCCAAAAGGAATAAGGTGGGAGAAAGCCTCACTCCAAAACCTAGTACCTTACCACGCCTGCGCGCTTACCTACCTTACTCCTCGCGCTCCTCCTCACAGCCCGTGAGACCCCCCTGCTGGAAAAAAGCCTCTTTGGAATTCCGTTTGTCATGTAAACTGCCCATTCGACGAATTCACGGCCATCACGTAACCAGTGGCACGAATAATGCCATTTCTCGCCCATTCAATCAGCGGAATTTACCCTATAGATGGGCAAAGCTATTGCTAGCAAGCTCCTTACGTACAAAAAGGGACCACTTCGTCCCCTCCCTCGCTCGCGGTCGTTTCCCATCCCCGCGCTATTCATTCTTTTCTCCATCTTTTGCCCCCGCCCTCCCTATAGCACCTTGGCTCTCGCTGTTCATGGCTCGGCTCGGAACCCGCACAGTCGAAAAAAACAATTGGACCATTCGACAATTACAAAGATGTACGGGTATATGATTTCAATATCGAATCTTCATTCCTATTTCGGCTTCTCTTTTTTTCCACTAGGGTTGGGCTTGCTTTGTATGCAGAACCATTTGCAATGGGCAATTGCGGCAGAGGTATCGCTGAGCAACAAAGACGAGAGTTAAAAAAAATCACCATCAAAACATCTCGTGTCATGACCATTCGAGCGCGCATTCCCCGCACTTCTTTATCTCATATTGAGATTCTGATGCAAAACCCCAGGCGGTATGGTGTGTGGTATCGATATCGGGACCGCGCCAACACAATGGGGAAAAAAAGTTTGAATATCGCTCATGAGCTGTTGTACCTCGCCCACACATTCGGGCTTCGCGTCGAGGCGCCGTGTCTCAATACACCGGAGCTTGGTCGCTACGTCCGCCTTGGACACCGGGGCTCGAGTCCCACGGGCCGGGCGATCGTACCGGCGGTACCCGGATGTTCCGAATAGCAGTGAACCCGGGCCCGAGGTCTCGGTCTTGATCGCTGCTTGCCGCACTACTCATCCCGCTGTTATTCGACATACCGCCGCTGCTGTTCGTTCTCGAATGGGACAACCCTCTCGGACTGATGCTTCCAATGCTCTCACTGCCACGTCGCGGCAGTTGCGGTATTGAGTTCTGTCGGATAGGCTGCGGCATGAGTTCGGCATTGGGGCTGATGGGCTGTATGCGCAAGTGCGACATGCCAAAGTCCCAGCCGCCGTATTGATGAACACAGTGAGGCTCCTTAATGTCGCAGTATTTGGTCAACAACTGGTACACTTGTGTTTGCACCTCGGCAGCTGAGGGTCGATCCATCGGATTCGCCGACAGCATACGGGCAACAATGTGCATTAAGGGTACGATGCCTCGGAACACGAGGCCTCCATCGGATTCGGAGACCTTCTTTGACGCCTCCTTTGCTAGTGTCGACATCCAGGACTCGACCTGTCCGAGGTTCTTGTGAAATGACGAATCCAATACGGCACCACCACGACCGGGGGTCTTGTGCTTGGCAGCACGGTGTGCGGCAAAACTTTTTGTTGTCTTTTTGACGAGGAAGCTCATCAAGTCCAAAATAACACAGCCAAGCGAGAAGATGTCGGCGGCTTGCGGGTTCAGATGTGGGTTGGGTGTGTTCAGCATCGCATTTGGGCTACCCGGGTTGTCACTCCTTGGGATGGAGAAGTTGGTGTGCGTCTCCGGAGACGTCGATACAGCCATCGTCGCCATACGACCCAAAGGACTCGTCGGACCGCCTGTCGGGCGAAACCATTGTTCCGGGGCTGCGTAGTCGTATGACTCCCGGTCGAACGAATTCTTGTCCGTGTAACCGGCTAAAACCTCGGCGTTTAGTCTCGTGAAATCCGAGTAAAAGATGTGGAGCTGACTGGTGAAGAGTATAGATGAAGGTTTGATGTTCCCGTGGCATAGCCTTCTACTATGAAGGTAGGCGAGGGTGTCAGCGAGACAAAGGATCCAGTTCATAATCGTCCGTCTCCGCTCCTTCTTTGACAGATTCTTAAAGGTGGATGGCGTATTGCCAAAGAAAGACTTCAGGTTGGAGTCGGTAGCAGGTGTGAAGAGGACGTATGCCGCTCCGATCTGCGTGTATGAAGCGTAATACGATACCAAGTGGTCATTCTGGATCCCCCTGATGCTATTGATGATCTCGACGAACTCGCCTTTGGAGAGCTGGCCGAACCCGTTCCCGAGTGGGATGCGGCGTCGGTAAAAGACTGTACCGGGACAGTTGGGGAGGACGACCTTGTCTACTGAGGTATTCCCCGCCGGTCTGCGCTCGATGATCTCGAGAGGAACAATTTCGTACTCGTTAAAGACGACGTGGTCGCCTCGTTGGAAGGGCTTCAGCAGATAGGTGAACTGGCGAGAAAAAAACTTGCGCTCAATCTTGTCGTCCCTTTGAGCCGTCAACCTAAGCCGCTCGACATGCTCGGAAGATATGGGCAGGTCATGGTCGTCCCATGAGTCGTCGACGATGCCGAAGATCTGATCTGGGATCTTGAGGTCGACGAGAATCAAGAAGATGCGCTTGGCCTTGTTGTTGATCCAGTCCCAATACGTCTCATCCGTCAAACCATCACCAAAAGCTAGTGGCTGGCTTAGGCGCTCAATCTCCTCTGGTAAGAGGTACTGACAGACGAACTGTCTCGTGACAGTAGCGTCAATCTTTGATGCATCCCACCACTGACCCATGGTGCCCGTTGTCCAAAAATCCAGAGGTTGGTCTCGTGAGGACTGTTCAGCCTTGCGGAGACGTCGGGTCAGCCGCGTATAGCTGGCTCACGGGCTCGATGTTCCACTTGGAGGGTTTTTTGGCGTGTCCTGGGTTGCTTCGCGCAGTTGCTGGCCCCCTGAAATGCGGTGACGTGCCTGCCGTCTAGGACGCTGGCGATACAGGCTGCATTACCGCGTGCCTCAGAGCCCGTTTCTTGGGGGGGGAGAAGCAGCCGGAGGTCGGGATGTGGGAGCTGAAAGCTGGGAGCTGAGAGCTGCGAGCTGCAAAAATAGGTCCAGCAAAAAGATATTATTGGGAGTGTGTGAGGTTTATGTTTGAGACGAAGCAGATCAGATTGGTACTGGACGGGAACGGAATTATTTTCATGGGGTCAGAGGAAGTGTCGGGTTGGTGGTCAGTTCCATGTCGAGTCCGTCCGTCCACATCTGCTTCCATGTTTGGGCACCCTCAGTTAAAGAGAGAAGGCAGCTTACCCTTACCTTTGGCTTTCGCGGCAGCCCTTGTACCGCGTCTCGCAAAGACGTAAGCAGAGGTACTTTGGTCCCCGTTCTCAATGGGCAAATGGGGCCCCAACACTCGTCTACAATTGCCCAGTATCAGCAAGTCCACACACCCAGGATGGGGCGTTTTTGGCTTTTGCCTTTGGGGACGCAGCGGGCGGCATAGCGGGGGCAAGGTTGGCAACACACTAGTAAGAGAAGGCGAAGAAGGCCCCGGCGTACGGCTTGCGGGCGCAAGCGCGGTTGCATGAGCCATCAGTCTCATTCTCGCGTGCCCTCGCCCCGTCTGCGTCTTCCAGTTGGAGAAGGGGGGAACGAGGTTTGCGGGACGGCTTGTACCTGTACCTGTACCTGTACTTGTACGAAGCACCCGAACCCTGTCCCCTACTCATAAGCCTGCCGCTGCCGTGGCCATTGTACTGTGTAGACGGTGATGGTACATTCGAGGTGCCCGTCGAGGTGCCCGGTGAGATATCTCCCCTGGCCCTGACTCTCCTAAAGTTGCGTTTACTTTGCCGGCACTCTCGTGATGGGGAACTCTGAGCTTGTGGCTCGCATGACGTGGTAAGCTCATTGGCCGGTCTGGCGGCGAGATAAGAAAGCCTTCGAGTCCGAGAGTGATGGTTGTCCCATATGGTACGGATCAGTACCGGTAGCCATCTCTTCTGTATTAGTTAGTTAACCTTGGCCCGTCGTCTACTCGGCAAAAAGCGCCAAATTCGCTCTGGCAGCCTGACAGGCACGCTTTTCAAGTTCGCTGGCGGGATGCCGCACGCACCCGGGGTGCATGGCATCGTACATTGCAAGTCAGCACTTGCTAGACGGGGGCTTGCCTTTTCTTGCTGTTACACTGCTTCGTCCACAGCGCATCGTGGCCGATCCCCCATGCCGTGCGGGTGAACAATGAAGGCATTCTTGGCGTGCGTTGGCGTCGACTGAATGTAGAATGCACGCGACATCAACGATGCTCGTCGCATCAGGTCATCGCGCAGCCAGCTCGCTCCCTGACTCTCGCACCTCGCACCTCGCAGGCTCGCATATCGTAGGCTCGTACTCAAGACCCTGAGGGGGACCCCTCTATCAGGGGTTACTGGCCAACGTCATGGCTCGCAGCGTACAGCGTGGGCGAAGGTGGGGTATCCCCAAGGACGTACTGCAGTTGGTAGGGGTCGACGAGAAAGACCCCCACTCCGGGAGCATATCTTTTTCCAACGTTGAGCTTCAGACGTGTTCGTGGCTTGGATGCGGTCGCTGCGTCCGCCTTGAAAGATGGGCAGTATCATACATCGTTGCGCGACAAGAAGCGAGGATGGCAGAAATTCGATAGGGCGTACGGTATGCTCCGTACGTGACCTGACCTGACCTGTCTTGGAGGGGAAATATGCTCGCAGACTCCGTGAACAGGCTTCGGGGAGCCAACAGACAAATAGGAGCACTGCACTGCGCAGACGAGCGGGCGTTTTCAAAGTCTGGCCGCCGGGAGGGCGGCGGTACAACCGGTGGACACCGGCAGGCTGGCTCATTGCCAGGCAAGAAGCAGGCCGCGAGCCAGGATTTCCCAACTGATTCCTTCAACCCACACACTCTCCTGCGCGAGCCCCCGGTTCAATTAGGCTCCCCGGCACCAACAGGAGGTTCCATCGATCGGGGACTGTCGAATAGTAATGGACGGGTTGGGACACAGAGATCAATGGTTAGTGTCGAGGGAGGCACGGGAGGGTCGTAGTGTGCCGTTTTGGGTATGCTTTTTTGGGCATTTTGGTCGTAGAAGCTCGAGAGCACCAGGCGCTTGGATACTCGCTGTCTTGGCTAAACCCTGCATCGTGCCATGCCATGTCTGATCACAGCAGATTCCGGGGCAGGAGTCGTTCTGTGGTGTTGTTATCGAGAAAGTGCCCGTATATCCGCAAGGTAGTGTACGGATATTCTGCTGCACCAGGAGAGATGTTGCGGGCAACAAGGCAGGCGAAGTGCAGATTCTCTATTGGAGTATCAGCATGAGCATGAGCATGCCCCCGGCCTCTGCTCATCACGATTCACCCGGCGGTACCATGTTCGTTTGATAACCATCGAGTGTCTCTAGGCTTGCTTGATTGGATGTTGAAGCGGGAGAGATGACATGACTGGTGTCCAAGTTGCGGTCGGTAGCGAAGGATTGTGATGCAGAAGTGAATTGCCAGGATGAGAGTCGGAGTGCCAGGCTCTTGACGTCCGCCGGCCGGTGTCAGTGGAGAGAGTGGAGGTCGGCTCGCGAGACGGGAAGAGGAATGGAAGGAAGGGTGGGAGCGGCGGGGGGAGGTCCAGACGGAAGCTGCTGCTGCTGCTGCTGCTCTTGCTGCAAGGTCACAATGGAAGGTGCGAGCTGGAATGCAGTGGTGGGGTCGGACTTGCTCCGCGTGCGTTCCTCAACTGAGCGGGAGGGGGACGAAAGTACCGGTACTTCGCTTACCTCCAGCGAGCCATACTGGCTTAGGGCACCTTGGACCTTATGTAAAGGAAGCCGGAATTGCTGGATATCTCCTCCAGAAGACAAGAGCACTCACTCATATCGCGACAGCGGCCTGACATGGATGGGACTGAGCCGAGTTGGCGCTTAACAGTTATTGGTAATCACGATCGCCAGATCTGTCCCAGGCTCTCGGAGTGGCCCTGGGCCCGCTTTTGAGCCATCTCAACTTCTCCTCTCACTCGATATAAGAGATGTTTAACTCAGGAAACAGAATTGGACAACAGCCTGGAATACCAAGATCGACGCACTCATTGCCCTCCCACACTCACTTCACTTACTACGACCCTTTCACTGGCGACTGGAGACTACATGTATGCTCTTCCACATGCTCGTCGACGCTCACCCTAGTGGCGATCCCCCGGATTACTTGACATTTGCCGTATGTCAACGCTTGCTTCATAAGCTGTCATTTCTCTCTTCACGATGATTGAATCAGTACACGAACTCTTGCTCGTGTTCACCTTTCATTGCCCAGCAAACCGTTGCTTTGGCGGGACGCACAAAAGCACTCTCTGTGTACCTTAAAAATAGGTTACCGGCGTTCCTACGAATAGATTGTGTCCACTCAAGGATCCGGGCGAGACTCTTTCGCGCCCGCAGAGCTAGGCCCGCAAACGTCTCTCCCTGCACCATCCTCATCTGACATCTGACAAACTAATGAATTGCAACGAGTATCCGTACATGTAGCCCGAGAGGTTAATGTACCCTGCGGTGACTGCCTATGGTCGACCCAAGCTTCCTTATTACCTCGCATGCTGCAAGGTGCCCATTTCTTGCAGTAGCAGTCCAGCAATCGGCCTCGGAGTCTGTTGCTCTCAAGGCCAAGGGCTAGGCCGGGCCTAAAAGTTTTACCGGGGCTCAGTGTCGATACAGCCATGCCTCGCAAACTCAATACAGATTCCAAAGGGACTAGGATCTAATAAGAAGAGAGCATATCTTCTTGACATTTCGACGAGATGCTTCATTCATGTACGAGCAACTCAGAGGTGCGCCATGCTACCTCTAGCCAAGCAAAGACTTGGTCGCTCGCTTGGCGTGGCTCCAACGAAAGCCACCAAAAAAAGTCGACTCTCTTGATCACACCTCTATTGGCCCGCCGCAAGTCTTGGAAAACGAAAGAAACGGGCGCTGGTGATGGTGAGTGTGTCACCGGCAAGCCATGCGGTCCATCCCACAAAGGTCGCAAAACCCACGCGACATGACGTGCCTTATCGCGCTACACAATCGATTAGATGTTTATATTATGGGATTGAGTGAGAAATACTCTATCATGGACTAAAGACGGTTGTCGAGATCTGTGAAACTCAAAGCTACTTCCGAAGCCAAGGTCTCACGATCAAGGACTCAATGTACAACATCCTCGTGTACTCGAGCTCACTATCTATTGGCTGCGGTGGGTACTTATCCAGCAACAGCAACAGCGACTCTTCGGTCACCCAAAATGGCCAAGCGTGCAGAGGAAGTCCGGAGAACCGTGTTGATCTGAAGTTGAAACTTCGGATCACACCTCAATGATTAATGATTGCAAAGCAGCATACTCCGTACTAAGGTTGACATTGCGACGGAGTTACGGAGGTTTGCTCGGCTTCCTTGAAGCGAACACCTGAACATTTGAAGCGGCGCATAAAGGATTGAGATACCTATCCATCTACCTACCCATCGAAGAGCCAAAGGTGACCTCCACTTAATTTTGCGCCATCTGAGTACATCAAAGGTACGTAAAGCACGTTTCCTATAGGCCTTACTTGCCTACATCTCGACTCGTCCCAGGTTGCGGATGTGTCTGCCGAGCAAAGGGCACGGCGACAAACCAACGTTGAAACTTTGCAATTCTGTGTTTAATCCAAAATCTAGAGTTATGGGCCCTGATCTGGTCATGAGTCCTGTCCAAGGTCCCTTTCGCAGTCCCAGCTCCGCCGTCCTACACCAGCTTCATTTTCTGAATTGAAATTGTCGCAATTTCCCCTTTACAGAACCTGGTGTCTATAACAACCCCCACACAAAGCCACAGCACTCCAAGAGACTCACTCGGTTGTCCCAAAGATGACGACGTCTGAGCGGCTCCTCATTCCGCTGCGCAAATGATCAGTGCTTCGCGGTGGAGGGCGGTGAACAGCTGCCGAGTTTCGGATTCGCGGAGTGTTGAAGCTGACTGGTTCGGGCGATAGATGCGGCCCTCCCCGCCTGGCCCGTGAGATAAGATGATACTTTGTCTCGGTGCCCGCATCACATACACCACCAAAGTATCCCCGAAACAGTTGGCGGGTGCATGGGGCCCGAGTGACAAAGTGCCCCGCAAAGCCCCAAGCTTCCGGACCCAGGGAGGACTTGAGGCTACGACATCTCAACTCTAAACACGTAACGTGGCTGGCATCCCGCTGTTAGGGAATCTCGGAGCATCGCCATCACCTACCCTTTTACGCCTCCCATCCTCCATTCGCCTTCGACCGACGGTGCCGAGACGCACTCCGCAGCATGGCCTCTTGAAAGGCATTTTCAGATTCTCCTTTGCATTCTCTTCGACACTTTGCGACAGGTTTAATGACAAAATAAAGACCCGACAGACAGGACACATACGCACACCCCCAAACACTAACCTTTTTGGCGTGGATCTACCGCCAAAATGCCCGACTCAATCGATGCTCCGCTGATGGCCGGCCGACAGGACCGAGACGACGAGCTTGACTACCGGGACGCGGAAGAGGAGGCCGACGTGCTACCAGCGTCCATGAAGCATGCACGCCAATCGGGCCCGAGTCTTTTCGTATGGCTTCTCACATTTGCTGCCGGCATCAGTGGATTGCTCTTTGGATGTGAGTCTCGGCGCCCCCCCCCCCCCCAATTCTACCGTTCATGAGACAAGAAGAATAGGCAAATGCTAAACCCCTTTGCGCAGATGATACGGGCGTAATATCAGCAACGCTCGTCAAGATTGACACCTCCCTATCGAACCGAGTCCTAACGACATTCGACAAGTCCATCATCACTTCCAGCACCGCCCTCTTCGCCCTCCTCGTCTCCCCTTTTTCCTCCATCGTCGCCGACGCGCTGGGCCGCAAGCGCGTCATCTTCGTCGCCGACATCCTCTTCATCCTCGGCGCCCTGATGCAGGCCTGGGCCGGCACCGTCACCTCCATGGTCATTGGGCGATCCATCGTCGGCCTGGCTGTCGGCGCCGCCAGCTTCGTCGTGCCCCTGTACATCGCCGAGCTGGCGCCCGCTAGCCACCGCGGCCGGCTCGTGACGATGAACGTCCTTTTCATCACGCTGGGTCAGGTAGTCGCCTACATCATCGGCTGGGCGTTCGCCGAGTACGGTGACCAGTCGACGGGGTGGCGCTGGATGGTCGGTCTCGGGGCGCTCCCCGCGGCGCTGCAGTGCTCGATCCTCGCCCTCATGCCCGAGTCCCCGCGCTGGCTCGTCATGGTGGGCCAGTCGCTCAAAGCCAAGAAGGTCGTCGAGAGGGTGCTGGGAAACACGGTCGGCGGCATGAGGAACGCCGAGGCGGTCATCAAGGAGATTGAGATTGAGATCAGGGAGGAGAGGGAGGTCATGAGGCGTGAGGGTTCGCCGCGCATGGAGTGGTGGGGAGGCTGGCAGGAGCTGTTCTCCGTCGGGAGAAACAAGCGCGCGCTGGTCATCACCTGCCTGCTCCAGGGCCTTCAGCAACTGTGCGGTTTCAACTCGCTCATGTATTTCTCGGCGACCATTTTCAAGATGGTGGGGTTCGGCACGCCCACCCTCACCGCCATGAGCGTCGCCGTCACAAACTTCATCTTCACGGTCGCGGCGCTGTGCCTCATCGACCGCATCGGCCGACGCAAGATTCTGCTCTACTCCCTGCCGTTTATGATTGCGGGCCTGATGCTCTCGGCATACGGCTTCTCCTTTGTCGACCTGCGGCCCGAAACGGCGGCAGCCTCGGAGGGCGGTACCGGCGAGGGAGCGGGCACGGACAGGGGCGCGGCGGTGCTGATCCTCGTCAGCATCATGGGCTACGTCGCGGCGTACGCG